GCTATCAAGGGGTTCCCATTATAACCCAACCGCGTAAGGAACGCAAAATCAAGGAACATAACACCGGTATGACGGAAACTAGGGCGGCAAGAATGGAACAAAACACCAGGCATAAGGCCGAGCCTTCCACCCTTTACCAAGTATATAGATGCATTAAAGTAAATAAGATATAATAATGATATCCCAACAATAATCATGTTCCAACAAGGAACAAACTCCATCTTCACCTGCAACTAGCAACGCTATAAAAGGGGCTGAGCAAAAGTGGTAACATATCCAAACAACGGTTTGCTAGGCAAGGTGGGTTAGAGGCTTGACATGGCAATATGGGAGGCATGATATAGCAAGTGGTGGGTATCGCGGCATAGCAATAGAGCGAGCAACTAGCAAGCAAAGATAGAAGTGATTTCAAGGGTATGGTCATCTTGCCTGAGATCCTGCAAGGAAGAGGAGAGAGTCCATGAAGAAGACAAACGGGCGTAGTCGAACGAATCCTCACAAACGTGACGTTATCGGAACTAACCCGAAGAATAAACACCGGAAAGAAGCAAACAACATAGTGAACAACCATCACATAAACATGGCATGATGCACAATCAAGTATGATGCATGTTCGGTTTAAATATGCATGGCATGGCAAAGTGCACAAACAAAACTACAAGTTAAGTGGAGCTCAATATGCAACGAGTTGCATATTGACGAAACACCACATCAATTATTTAGTTCTCTCCCGTTTATGTACCCAACAATATTAAATATTGTTAAGCATGGCAAGAGGTGAAGCATAACAAAACTATACCATCTAAACAATTTAAATGGGGCCGGATATAACAAACAACAAATCCGGTAAATCCCCATATGCATTTAGCAAATTAATGCAAACAACAAATTAAACATTCTTGATGTTGTTATCATGATGCGGATGACATTTGCAAGTTTTATGCAATTTTATGAAAATGTTGATATGAACATAGATATGAAGCATTTGTCGCCATGGCGGAAGGAAAAGGGATGCCACGGCGGCGAAACGGAAATGTTACCATGGCAACATATCGGTTCCGGTAGCTCATTGAGATACCGGTGCAGAAGGAAATGTGACGTGAGCGTGTCATGCAAGATGGTGGGGTGATCCCGGTAACCGGGTTCCCACGGGTTAGCGGCAAACGAGGAGGACCGAGCAAGTGACAGCTCAGACATGGTGCAAACAACGTGTGCATCTCATACAACACATGCAATCGTTCTCGGACGGTCATCTCGGGGTTATACCTTCGAAGCGTGCATTTCGGAGCGGATCGGTTCATAGAGGAAGTAGTCGTTCATGGGTCGTCGGGGGAAGTAGTGGTTCATGTCCGTAGATGTTCGGGGTCACGACACGGAACTTGACGTCCACGGGGTCTTCAGCGATGGTCGTGGTACATGTTTCATAGACGTTCGGGCGGCGGTAGTGGGACATGTTTTCGTAGAGGGACTTGACAAAAAGCACGTTGACGGTAGAGGTACAAATGTTCTCGGGGTTACTTGTCGGTCCGGTCTTGACGGTCTCGTTTTTGTGACGGTAGTCGTACTAGTCGGCGGTAGTGGAACTTGATGGATCCGAGGACTCCGGACGTCATGGTACTTTGCAACAACCGAGGCGGTCTTGACGCATCCGACCCGAGGGACTTGGCGTGTCCAAAACGTAGCAGCACAAATGTCTCGGTCGGGAGCACTCGTTCGGGCGTCGTTGGTCTTGCGGGTCGTGGTACTTGGCGGTCTTCGCGATTCCGGGGAGATGGTGGAGGTACTTTCCGCATCATCATGTAGCCGTATTCAGTGTCCTCGGGGCATCGGCTATAGACTTGGTGCTTGGCGTTCAACAAACTATTGACCAACAACGTGAACAGGAGACGAAGAGGTCTCTTGCAGTCTTCTGGTCAACGTGAACAGGAGGCCAGATCTGGCGAAAGGAAGGGGAGGCGGCCCCGACCTGTGGACCTGGTGTTTGACTGAATTCGAGTCCACGGGGACAAGCTAGCGAGCTACTGCTGCTGTTCGAGGCGAAGCAGGGGCGCGGGTCAGTCGAAGCAGAGGCAGCGGCGGCGGGGCTTGGGGCTGACGAAGAGGATCCTGGCAAGGACGACGTTCTTCAGCGAGGTGGCGACGGACTTGGGGTGCAGGGGTGCCGAGGCGCCGAGCTGCAGCTGTTCGCTGCAGAGAGAGGCAACCATGGGACGCGAGGAGGCCGGGAAGACGGGGAGGTCGAGGACGGTGGCGCTGCAGCATGGCGGCACGGCGGCCGGACGTCACGGCGGAAGCTGGTCGCCAGCAGGGGCGGCTGGAGTTGGCCTCCAGTGGCGCGGGGAGGCACGACGCAGAAACGAGAAGGGCGGCGCTGCAAGGTCGCCGGTCCGGCAGGGCCGCAGTGAGGGAGCGAGGCGGCGGAGATGGATGCGGGCGCGAGTGCCAGAGAGAGGGAGAGGAGTGAACAAGGGAGAGAGGCTTCGAGCGTGGGTGATGTAGGCGAGCGAGAGGAGTGAGGAACGGGCGATGGGGCCGCCGGAGTTGGCTGCCTGGAGGACGAGCGGGGAAGGGCGAGGAGAGGGGCTCCTCTGGCGGCGTGAGGGGAGAAGGTGAGGAAGGGATCGAGCAGAAGGGAGAGGCGGCGCAAGGGAACGAGGGGTGACGCCTAGGGTTAGATAGGCAAGGTCGGCTGGGCCTTGGCCTTGGGTCGAATGGGCCGACCTAGCTGCAGGTTGCAGCTGGCGCAACAATAGGGAGGCCCACCTAGCTTATGGGCTCTCTTCTCCCTCTCTTACACTTTTCAAAACAGCAGAAAAAAGGAAGAAAAGGGAAGAAAAGAAAAGGGGTAGAGAAAGTGTTTGGGCATGGGAATAATTTTTACGGACTCGTAAAAATGTGCACGGTCCAAGAAAATAGAAAAGGTCAAGTTTGAAAGATTAAATTCAAATTTCTTTGAATTTAATTCAAAAGGTTTGAACTAGGATTGGTTTTTCAAAGTGCCCAAAAATGTTGAGAATTTAGGTGGAGCTCCGGAAAATGACGAAAGGACATATGGCAAAGTTAGAGGCCAAGAGTTGTGATGACTAAAGCATTGGGATTTTTGCAAGTGTGTTATGGGTGATTCCAAGTTAATGGAATATTCTATAATAGCTCCCTAAATATTAGGAGGATATGTTATAAAGAGAAACCACCATGTGAGTTCCCTCAATTTAAATGGATCGAAGATCCATACGGTTTATTTAGTTGAGTTGGAAAGATTAAAAACATGATGACATGATGCCATGCACATGATGACATGATATCATGCACATGATGCAATGATGAATGCAACAAGCAAAAACAAAATCACACAACGAATCTCGAAAACCCTGGAAGGCATCTGAAGCTCTGGTCTTGGGGCGTCACAGTGGCCTTGTATAAGGCTAGCCATAGTGGGGGTAACTTAGGTAGTAACTTAACACATCCCAAGGCAATTTTGCTTATGTGACAACTATTTAATGAGGAAAGAGGTGCTTGTGGTAACATAATATGTTACTATAACATAGCGCTTCCTGAGGCAAAATGAGTCTATGAAATAATAAATGAAGCAATATATGATACTATTACTATATTACTTTGCACTATGAAGATAGTAATTTACACTAGTGTCATGTATGACACTAGTCTAAATTACTCCCCATTATGATCAGACTAAGAAAATGGAGGGAGTACTTAGTTTAGGGGGAAAAAGGTTGAATCAGAACGTTGAGCTGAAGAAATCATTCATGACGAAAAAAACTACTCCCTTCCTGGCTTTAAACAAGAGAAGTACTGAATGAAAATGAAAAGGAACCCAACCGGCCCCCCTCCCCATCGTTCGCCATAAAACCGCACCCCACCCCACCCCACCCCTCCCACGCGCGCGACCACAAACGCAACCAATACCCCTCACCCCCTACCTGTTCCGCCACGGGAAAAATACCCGAAAGAAAGGCTCCCAAGCAAGAAAAGGCAGACGAGGAGGGTCGGCCTAATCCGATCTGCGGTCTCGTCAAACCGCCGTAATAATTTCACTTTCTTCCGTTTTCTCCCCGTCGTGTGTTCTTGTTTCTCTCGGATGATTTTGCCTCCCTCCTCCCGATCGGCGCTAGATCGACCCGATCTAAATTATCGGCCACGGGCAGGGTTGGTAGGCAATAGCGCCGTTGATTGGCTAGGTTTTCTCGGCTCAACAGGATAATTTGGCTGCGGAGGGAGGGGATTTGGTTGCCGATCCGTTGTACGGTTAGTGGGGATTGGGGATTTTGATGGTCTCGAGGAAACTAGAGAGGAAAAACTCACCGGCTGCTGTCCTTGTCGGTGTTAAAATTATTAATTAAATAAAGAATCAATATGGATTGCACCAATCCTTTGTTGGTTCGAACGTATTTGATCTTTATCACACGAGTGATCTTCTGTTGACTATCTTATTAAGAAGCGTGGCCTGGAAAGCATAGGACTGTAAGATCACCTAGGAGATATTAGCCTCTCCAATTCCGAATCTATGTTGTAGACATGAGTATGCTAAACCGTTGTTATACTTGTGGGCTACTTTGTTGTTTCCAGAGGTCATGTTGGGGTTGTTATGCTTATTTTCAAGGCTGCTGTCAACTCCTAGTGAGAAATGCTACATTGTCACTAATCTTCGTATTTCTACTTTTGATAGAAATCACAAGCCTGGGAAATTTCTGTTTTCATGTATAATGTAAATTCACATATTTGATTCCTATCTGTGCTAGCAGCCAAGTACTAATGTTTCAGTCAGTTATGAACTTATCCAAACAAAATAACTCCTTTTCCGGATGCTTTTTTATTCTACTTATTGGTTGTTATGTATTGTAGATTATGATCTTACGAGACTGATGGTGTAAAATTATTTCAGGATTTCTGTTGTGTCAATATTATCACAGCTCTTGACTTAGAAGCGTGCAGAACCTACGCCTGCTGCCTGTAGGTTATTGCTAACCCCTTCCCACAGTTTAATGAACTTACTTTTGTGCTTGAGACATCTGCTTTCAATTTTGTTCTGAAGGTGCATTTGTCTTAACCATCTGCTTTACTCATTTCTCATCCTTTTTGTAGTTGTCTTAATATATATATTTACATTTATTTCACTGCTGATAACTAATGTAACATTTTACTATAGAACTTTTCCTGTGGCAAATTACTAATTTTAATCTGTTGTGATTTGCCTTGTTTAATGCCGTCAATGTCTTGGAACAGTTTGTACGAAGATTCAAGCTAGTAATTCATATTTCACTATAACGCATGTTAGACAAGAACTATTGTACTGATGAAACTTTAGCTTCACGATGTTTATTTCTTAATGTCCAAAATCTTGAGAATGATTTTAGCTATTTACCGTTTGTACCAGAACTTTCTAGAATTGTGATTAGTATCTTTGCAAGGCATGAGTTACTTTGCACCATGATAATCTTCTTAGTCCTTAGGGCTAACACTGATTTGGAAACTAAAATATGATCCCCCCAGATGATCTTAAAGCTTTAGTAAGACAGTTCCTTTTTCTTTGCCATTGTAAAAATGTATTAATGTTTAATTCGGTATTGCAATGAAATTATGTTTAGCAAGATAATGTTTTTCTTAATCTGTATAAGTGCTCGACTTGAGTCAATTAATAATTCTTTCTTCAACAATTCTAACGATAAAGTAGATTCGTCACAGTTGATTTCAAGATGACAAGTAAGAAAAGTAACAGACCTACAGTCACATCATGCACTGCTCTGCATATGGAATGGGACAGGATTTCTTGCCCTATTTGTATGGAGCAACCACACAATGCTGTTTTACTTATATGCAGTTCGTACAAGAATGGCTGCAGAAGTTATATTTGTAACACAAGCCATCGACACTCTAATTGCCTAGACCGGTTCAGAGAAATGAATGGAGATAGTAAGGTCCGTGATTCACACTCAACCTCTTCGGTGCTTTCAAACTCCAATAACAGAACAGTCCAACCAAGATCTCACTATAGTACGATTTCCAGACATTTGTTGAGCCCAAGCCTCAGAAGACACATTGACAATGCTAATAACCAAGAATCTGCTAATTCAACACCATTCTTAGGAGAAAGTAGCATTATAATGCAAGAATGTCATGATGCTATGCAAATTTCAGTTGACATGAAGTGTCCTCTCTGTAGAGGATCAGTATCAGGCTGGATTCCTGCTGGAGAAGTCAGAAAGTATCTGGACGAGAAGTCGAGGTGTTGCTCCCATGATTGCTGCAAATTTGTTGGTAGCTATGAGCAGCTGCGTGAGCATGCTAGAACAGCTCACCTGCGTGCAAAGTCTGCCCTTGTAGATATCTCAAGGAAAAGGTCTTGGGATCGCCTTGAACGTGAGCAGGAGTTTGGTGATGTGATTAGTGCAATCAGGTCACAGAATCCTGGTGCAGTAATAGTTGGTGACTATGTTATTGAGACTAGAGATGCAATGTCTCCTGATGAAGATTCTGGGGAAGAAAGTGGTGATGAGTGGTGGTCTCCTGCCCAAGACCAAGTAGAATCACCGGATAGACATCGTGCCCCTAGGCCCTGGCTGAATGGAAGACTAGGATCACCTACCATTTGGCCAGATGGAAGGCATGCCTTCCCTAGGTTTCTGCCACAGCCCAGGCCATTCAGTGATAGGCGCAGCTCACGTGCAGATTGGCAGGGCATCCGACGGTCAAGCGCGCAAAGCTGGCTGCGCCAGGGTTTCTCGAATCGGCACTCTAGGCACACCAGCAGTTACCGCGGATATCGCCATGGCATCTTTGATCGCCGTTACGCTGGAAACAATCGTGCAGGTATTGATAGGAGGCAGGATGGCCCAACATTTCCGCCGGGAAGACGGCAGCGTTTGAGATACACGCAAAGAAGCCAGCATGATCCATGATCGGCCGAAGCAACACTACCTGTGCAGTATTTAGTTATTACAAACAGCCAAGCCATCCTTGTAAAATAGCTAGTGGTGGTTAAGAATAAATATCTTGGCCTATTTACTATTCGTGTATTATATCTGTTAGAAACGTTCTAGTGCAGATGCAGAACTTCCCTTCTAAATGTCTCTATTCAATGCCTTGTTCTTGGTAGTCTTTGTCTTTTTTTTCTGTGTGAGGTGGTTCTGTGATTAAGTTGAAATGAGATATAACTGCATTTTCTCCCAGGGATTGGTTCATTCTTTCCCTTTCTCTTCGTTCTTCATATGGATTCTTTCATGCCCTGTTACTATGGTTACGCTGATGGCATTTATTGGTGCGAGAGCTATTTCATCATGGTGATATTTGAACAAATTTGCTCATGGAAATAACGGGGGAAGGGGAAACAAATATAAAATGAGCAATGTATTTTCCTGTGAAGTGTATCAAGGAGAATCGTGCATGACATCCATCTCCTTTTCCGCGAAGAGTTTCTAGTAGTTTTTTGCATGAAGAAATGATGGCTTTTGATTGCACAAGACTCGAGAGTTCATAATATTGCTGTTGCTAGGTTATTTTGACATGATGTGTGTGTGTTGGGGGGAGGGGGGGTTCATTGTGGAAATCATTGCTGCTTATGTTCTGTTGTTTTAGTCTATAGGGATTGCGGAGTGCAACTCATTTAATTGTGCTATCGCCTGATAACTGTTGCATCTCCAAATATCTTGTAGAGCACTTTCTTTAAGTCGTCAGAATGATGTGGATGTCGTTGGGTGTATCCCAGAAAATGGCGATGACAGATTTTGACTATTTAGTCATGAGAAGATGATGATGATATAGCCAGACAAGAAAACTAAGGTTTATCTAGTATGATCGTTGTTTTGGATATTCAGCTGGTTTTGGGTACAGGTCTATCAAAACGTTAAAAAGGAAATTTGGCGTTCAAGTCCCACTCAAACCTTCTTATATGCATTAGTTTGACGATACATATAAGACCAAAACGTCTGGTTGCACTTGCACATGACAAACAAACAAAAGTCACGCCCTTGAGAAAGGTGACTGAGGCGGGTGACGGAGTAAACCCTAACTGCCACCCGCCTTTCAACCCTCTTGCTGCCGCTAGGGTGTATCGCCAGG